TTATACAAACTTTTTTCCGACACATATTCATAATATTTCTTGAGGAGAAATACAACATCGTTTGGTGTGCTTGACTATTCATATGTAAGGTCGTTCCCATTCTCCCACATAAACAATGACTCCCCTCTACTTGGAGAAAAACTAAAAGCTAAAATAGTTTATACTCGGAGTATACTGTTTATTTACTCCCTCAAGTAAAACCTAAACTAAGAATATAAAGTCTTTAAGCTATAGTAAAAAGAAAAAAGAAAAAAGAATCCTAATTGTGCTCGAGTTGCACTTGAAAAAATGATGTCTCAAGAGTGAATGCAGATCATCCCACTTTTTAGAGAGAGATCTAATTGTTTGAAAACTCAAAATTATTATTATTTTTTTAAAATAGTCATCTAGCAGTTCTTAAGTGATTCCGAAAATTTCGGATTTGAAAAAAGATCTCCCTAAGTAATTATTCCAATTGAGGGTACATTGTACTCTCGCAGGAGCATAGCATATAAGCAAACTGCTAATGCTCATGTTTATCAAGTTGGAGTCGGCTCAATCACTCGGAGCTCGGAACTCGGAACGGGCATATGTGAGTTCCTAATGAGCCAGACTCAAATGATTCCAGTTTGATCAGAATCGGACGAGGGTACCAGATTTTTCAAAAAATTGAGCGTATATTCTTAAAAAACTGTGATTTTCTTAAGATAAAACTCAGCAACTTGCATTTAACCTGACTGAGATGACTTGACATAAGTAGAGGACAAGTTCGGGTGCGATCCCGGGATTTAAAACACTGATTCTAGGCAAGGGATCTTAATTGGCCCTTCATTTCCATTTTTGCCTTTGATTATCTTGGTCAATATTTGCTAGTATACCTATTAGTTACTGCCTTCATTGTGTTTGCTGCACTCTTCTCTATGATGCGTATGAGGCCTAAGTCAATAACTTCTGATTATTTTAAACGGTTTCTAAATGGTATCTGATCTTTCTTTTTTTCTAGGGTTAAGTGTATCTAATTTTCATATAAATTTAAGTCAATGGGAGGATTTCTTTAAAATTGCTCTTTCTATTCTCTCATTTTATTTATGTGTCAATATCACATGATAACATTAGGGGGGTGTGCTAGAGAGAAGAGGCCCAATAGGATTCTTATGCAGAGGGAAAGATCAAAATTTTCCCAAACCTTAAGAAATTCAAAGCTCCACGTTTAAGAAGATGGAAAGAAGCTAATAAAGCACTGTCAAGTCATTTGGTCCATAGGGGATGTGTTGATTTGGGATGGGGTTTACAAAGCCCATAGTCTATTATTCTTTATATAAGGTGTCATCCTTCAACAATTAAAGTTCATGCACCTCCAAACTTTGTAGAAGATGTGATTTTAGAGACAAATTATTGCGGGTCCTGAATATCTATTTTCAATCCTATTTATGAAATTTAAGCTTAAAAAGGGTACATATCAAGAAAATCCATATAAACATTTGAAAAAATCTTAAAACTAGATGGTCCGGATAATATATTATAAGATGTACTATTTCTGAGACTTGAATATAAATCCATATGACTATTTATCTCAAGGTCAGAATATCCTTTTCGAGCGGATTTTTGACGTGCACCGTACTTCTACAGTGTAAGATTGATACCTCATATAAACCTTTCGATCATTCTTTGATGCCTTCTCTCTCTTCTATATTTCTCTCTTTCTCTCTCCCCACCCCTAATGTATTGGATATACAATAAAAGAGGACATATAATTGAAAGGTGATGGTCCATGCTTTCTTATGTCCAATTCGATGCCCAAAATATAAGGGATGAAAATGGATCATTCCTGTGTGAAAATATAAAAATTTGAATGCATCGAAAATACATGCACCTTAGGCGATAGAAGAACTTTTTATTTTATTATTGCAACAATATTGGCAAAAGGCTTCTTTCTCATACCTACTAATTATTTACATATGAGCAAGCAAAAAACCTTGGCATATTGAAACTAAAGTATACCAAGAATATACAGTCGATCATTTGCTAAATCTCTTTATAAAATTTTCCCCAGACAAATGCAACTCACTTGGCATAGGCTCTTGGAGAGAGAGACCTCATAAATTCCAGGTATATTTTAGATAATGGGGGTGTAAAGAGAGAGAGAGAGAGAGAGAGAGAGGGGTGCACACCCCAGCAACCAGCAACTAAGGCAAATGGTACAACTTTGAAGGCTTGAGCCCATCTGTGGCATTGAAATACCTCAGGGTCCGAACCCACTTATCGTTGTCCTTGAGCCTATGAACCGCTATTGTATCAGGAATAAACTCATGAGAGCAAGTATCAATAGGCACAGGTATTGGATAATCATACATTGCTGGCTTGTTATTAAACCTATTCCTAGCTTTATTTCCCTCTCTTAACCAATCTCCAACCACCATATCCTCAGGCCCATCCTTGTGATTTCTTGCTATGCTGGATTTTCTTACCCATTCTACTAAGTCCCATGATAAAATAAATCCCATACCTGAAAATAAATAAATAAATAAATAAGCATGATTAGCTTCTTTCTGATGAAAAATAAAAAGGTGAGGTTTACATATGGTGTCCTCCTTATAGTGTAGTAGTAAGGTACACCTCTAAAATTTATTTGGAGATGTAGTCCCGGTATTGGAAACCTGAAAATGACTTGAAAATTTATTTTCATTCCTAGTAATGATATTCAAATTTTCAAAATTGTACAGATCCAACATATCTATAAACACTTGATAGTTTTGAAAATGTACTTGGAGAAAACTCGTAACAAGTTGTACTATTGTTAAGACTTGAAATTCTTTTTTTCCTTCATATCCAGACATCTCGAGTAGGGTCATCCAATGTCAGAACACTCTCCTCCAGAGGATTTTTAGGGTGCACCTTCATTTAATAATGCAACTTTGTAACCTTAAATAAACCATTTAAAAAATAAAATTGAACAAAAGGTTGGGTTAGTTTGTCTCAGCTCTTCAGGACAAACTTTTATGAGTTTTCCGGGACAAATCTCAAAAGGGTATGAAACTCGCCCCAATCGTAAATGTTCATAAATGTTCACGATTACGTAAGGGACAAAGAAAAAAGGGAAAATAGCATTTAACAGGTCAAAACCCCTTCTAAAAATTAACAAGGGGTCAAAAGATCCTATTAACATCCAAAGGATTACTTTTCAAATTGCAATTCACCGAGTATTTCTTCAAAATATATTTTCAAGACTAGCTAATTTAATGTAGAGAAGCCTGAACAAATAAAAACATTTTAATAATTCGACCCACCCTCTATAACCTGTAATGTTTCGACCCAACCCACATATGATTTTGTAATAAATTCTGAAGTCCTCAGTGATATTTCCCAAAAATAAAGAGACCATACCTGACATATATTGGAAAAATGGGTCCATGCTTTCACAAGGAATAACAAACCCATAATACATATCAAATCTAGGTAGCGGCTCTAAAGACTTTGCTAATCTGTCAAGCCTGAAGTATATGTCATCGTCGGCCTTCATTGCGTAATCGTACGGTTCAGGTAAGATCTCAGGCAGGCTAGAGAAGTAAGTGTATGTTTTCCCATCGTTCATGTTTTCAGTGCAATTGAGGATAATGATATCATCGTGTCGCATGATTTCGAGGGCTACGATCACACGATCGTCTTCGTTGGTTATGTTGCAGAAGACGAACTTGATGTCGATTTGTGCCCGGCCGGTGCTCTGAGTACCATAGACTAAGCGGAGCAAATAACGGCGAAAGTAGTTGCCAGGAAGGGTAAGGATTCCGATCAACAGTCGGAATTCAGGTGGTGAGAGTTCAGATTTTTCGGTGAAATTTTCGCTGTCATTTGCAGTAGGACGGCAAGTGCAGAAGGAATTTGTGGAGTTTGGGGTTGGAGAGAGAGAGTTAGGGTTAGGGTTTGTGATAGAGGAGAAGGCAGAGCGACCGGCATTGATGAGAGAGTGGAGCTGGACTTGGTCCATGGAGATGAAGACGCAGGCCAAGGCAACAAAGAGGAAGGAAGAAACCATGAGAGTGATTTTGAGGATGGAGTTCCATTCCCATTGGTTCTCCTTCATGTTAGAGAGAGAGAGAGAGAGAGAGAGAGAGAGAGGAGGTACGTTACG